TTTTTTTCTTCTTTTCGAAAATGGAAGTATCGACAACTGATTTTTTTGTTTCTCTATGTTTGTTTTGTCTGATCGTGTTTTGCTTTCTGTTTTTCTCATTTTCCACTATCTGTCTCTTTGTTTGTTATTACCCATGTCATACAAACCGCTTTAAAACCGTCAGTTAACCGCAGTTTACCGTCCGCTTGAACGCCCATTTGACCGTTCCGGTTATCGCAGTTAACCGCGGTTAACCGCCGTTAACTGCATTCCACTGGCGAATTTCTTCATGCTCTTACTGATGTGTTAGGATCGAATGTAGTTTACAGTAAAAGTTTTAAATCACATCTAGTTTTCAGTTAGACTTTATTTAAATCTCATCAAAATCAATTTCTAGCATAACAATAAAAGAGCATTTTAAATCATTGAAATACAAACAATCACTTATCATTATTTAACATCACACATGTTCAACAAAATCAACTTGTAATGAGACAAACGAAAAAAATGCGTACATTATGTTTTCACACAAGGAGAATGCGTCTACAAAAACACGAGTTACAACATAAAATAACAGTAATTAAGTACATGTTCTACTATTCTAACTATGACTGTATTACAAAAACAGTTAATAAAGAAGTATTACATATTATAACAATAATCATATAACATATAAAAAATGAATGTTTTTAATAAAGTAAAAATACTTGAATTAATAAAATAAAAGTAAAAACGATATTTAACGAGAATCTTTCTAATTTGCAAATGAATCAATAAATTCATCAAAATCGTCGTGTAGCGCTACTTGTGGTGCAGGTTGCACTGTTACATTACCAGTACTACTTCTTTTTTTTTTCAATTCATTTCTTCTCTTTTGAAGAATGCATTGATGTAAGGTTGTCCATTCAAACCGTAACATTTCATGATTTAGCTTGAATCTTGACCGAACTGCTTCTAAATAGAACCATATTTAAGAAGTGGCTATGATAAAAACTGATTTTTGTTTTACTTTCAATAATTAAGTATCGTTCATCCTTTACTAATTCCTCTTTAGTAATGGTTGTTATTTCTTCGAACGTAAATAACTTATCCAGTACAAGTGCAACATAACGACCCATATGAGTTTGAGCACCATATAACTGAATTAGATCTACAGATACGCCTTCTGAATTGACATAAATCTAAAAAAAACAACAGCCAAAAGTTCATAAGCAAAACCTGCTAAATATAACTCACTAATGTAGATTTAAATGGTGAATCGTCAACGATTATATTTTCATCACCAAATTGATCACCATTTAATGCGACATTGATCTTGAAAATACAAATTTATTACTTAAAACGAAAAATAGTGATACAATTGATATTTACCTTTTTCTTTGATAATTCGACGAGAATAAAACGATTTTTGATACATGAATGGAATATTGATATCTATAAATAAAATTAATTGTGCAAGAAATTTCAAGACAAATTAACAAAAAAATGGAAACTATATACATAGATATTATAAACTTAAAAAATTATCTTCAACAATCGATTCATTCATTATGCCCTTTATCTAATGAACAAGTCTTGAACAATTTCAATCAATCCAATGAGAAAGAAAAAAGCGACATCTTAGTATAGCTTTAAAATATGAGTTTTGTTTCTCTAAATCTTGATAAAACAAGTAGAACAAGAGAATTCTAATCATGTTGATGATTATTTCTAATTTTTTTTATATCACTACATATAGTTTGTTTGTTTTTGTTTATCGTTTCATCGTTAAAATCCGCTAGTCGAAACCGATCGGTAACCGCGGTTAACAGTCGGTTCTAGCTTCAACCACCGGTCACCGCTGGTTCTTAGCACAACCGACGGTTACCGACGGTTTTATGGAAAAAAGAGCGACATGGGTTCTTCATTTCTTTCTCGTATGCCGAATTTAAAATTTCTTCGAGTATCATTACTTGACTCGACTCAAAATCCTTTACAATCAGTATCATGTCGAATTACTCATCTAGTTCTACTACTTCGTTCAGATTGTTCCATATCAGAACTCCGAGTATTTTTTGCTACTTGTTGTTCATATATAGAAAATTTAATTGTTCAACCATATATTACGAATAATGGTCGATCAACATTGATGGTAAGTAAGCACGAATGGACAAACATTCTTCCATCTCGAGTTACTTGGTTTTATTTGAAAACAAAAAATGCATATCATCATAAGTTATCTAATGTGCATCTAAATTCAAAATTATATGATCAGATTAGATTAATGCATAATGAACAAGATGGTCATCATTGTCAAGTAATTATTGAAGAACCATTTTCACGTATATGGTAAACAATGAACAGTGAATCTTTTTTGATATTATTTCAATAAAAAATGTTTATAAATTATGGAGCATAATTATTACAATTGAGGGTGTGTGTGAGTGGGAGCGTAATTATGAATGTGCGTACAAGTAATAGATTTGTACATCAGTCATACTTACATCTATATTGTCAGTATGATTACTTCCGAACTAGTAAAAATTTGTAAATATCTATCTTTGATATACTCTAGAACAAGAAAAATAAAATATTTAGATGTAGATATGAAAGAGGAATAGATATGTTGTTGTTCACATCCACCCTTTTTTCTTTTCAATTCATAATAAATTATCAACAATAATAAAATCTATTTACTTTAGTTCAAATAAATTAGATTGGTGATAATGATAAATCTGAAGCAGATGAAATTATTTTATAAGTAAATTGTTTTTCTTCTCGTTGAAATACTGAATGATTTAGCAAATACTTAATAACTACTATATTATATGGTATAGATAGAGAAGAAACGCGTGAGGATACATATTTTTTTAGAATTTTTACTTATACTATGAGTTTAGTGTGCGTGAGGGTGTGGGTTTGTTTGAAGAAGACACACTCACCCACACCCAAGATATACGACAACTGAATTTTAGATTTAAGAATTAAGATGTGAATATAATTCTCTTTGTTGCATATTTATACGTATAGATGATTATTTTTTTGTTTATAATTATATTTAATTTGATTTATCAAGAAAATTTTTATTAAACTATATCAATCATTATTTGTTAATATATATAAATGTAAAAGAAAATATTTTCATATCGTTGTTTACTTCTTTTAGAAATATAATGTCTTTTATACTTTGTATTTCCTGGTGCATTATATTTATAAATGGAGAAGAACAAAAAGAAAAACTATATAAACGTGTATCCTTAATGTTTTAAATATTTTTCTATTAATCAGTTTTTATCATTATTTTAATAAATATAAAGAATATGCAACTTGTTTATAGGGAAACTAATATTTGAAACAGTTAACGATAATCTGATATAATTTGAGAAAATCTGTTTGTTATATTCTAAGATTTTAAGACTGATGTATTTATAATAACAAAATCAGATGATTTAATTAATTTGAATTTTGAGGGTAGATGTGGGTATGGATATGAATATTAGTGAAAATATACTCACACCCTTTGGATAAAAGAAGAGTAAAACATCCACATCCATATCCGCATTCTCACCCATATCCATACTAACACCCACACCCACATCCATGTCCACATCCTCACTCATATCCACATCCTCACCCATACCCATATCCACATCCTCACCCACACCCATATCCACATCCTCACCCATACCCATATCCACATCCTCGCCCACATCTACAACCTCACCCAAACCCACACCCATATCTTCACCCACACCCATATCTTCACCCACACCCATACTCACCCAAATCCTCACCCGCACCCACCCTCAGCTTCTCGATGATTTATTCTGAAAACGACAGCAACTCAACAGATCAGGTTACATTCTATGTCGACATATCGTTTGGTATCAGGAAAGAATATAGTTTTATTAGTTGAGCCTGACTTTATATTATGATTATGTGATCATGATTCTACAAATTAGTAATAAAACATGAAATGTCAATATATAGAGTATGATTAAATTGATATTGATTTTTTCCTATAGCATATGTAACTATATACTTGTCATGAAACTAATATTATCATTTTAACACGTTTATTAGTTGTTTGAACATGGTTTTATTCTCTTTTTAACGTTTTTTTTGTTACTAGTAGATAAGTCTATGAACGACAGTAATTGTTCATTCACATTTACAGCACAGCAGAAAAAAATTCTTCTCACTAAAAATATATAACTCTTTATTTCTCTCGACTAAAGATAGTTTGTACTCTTACAATCAGTGAAGATAAAAATAAAAACGATCGATGATGGATACAAGTTCATTAAATAAAGGTAAAATTATTTTTCAACTTTTCCTAGTAATGTTAATTCGATGGACAACTATTACTTGTCAATTGAATTTTTACCATACTGAAGAAGTGATTGAAGGTAAATCTTTACAATATAACTGTTTGAATTATCGGATTTACCGTGAGGAATCGGTTGATTCTGAATTATCACATATGGTTGATGAAGTCATTCCATTCTGTTTTCGTCCAGAAGACTATTCCAAACGATCACTCGACACCTATGTTAATCCGCTTTCTCAAAAACTGACTTTCGAAGAATTACGCCTGGCTCATATTACTTCAGAAAAACTTCTCTCGTGGTCAATTTCTATTGATGTAGCTCAACGATATCAAGTGTATTTAAATGAACCGAATGCTGAATCTAATGAGGTTCTATACAATTGCACTGAACCATGGTTCGGCCCTCGGTGTCAATATTCGTTTCCTTCCGGTGGACGTAGATCTTTCAACAAAATTGTTGAAGAGGCTTTTGGTAAAAGGACAGCATTTCCTGAGGCATCTGAAGCGACAGTACAGGTGTCATGCTATGTTCTTCTGGAATGTCATCGTAATGGACAGAGTTGGTGTCTTGATTGGCGTGAAGTATGCAATGGAATTGTTGATTGCTTTGATGAAGGTCTCGATGAAGAATATTGTTCCGATATGGAGGCAACTGACATTGGAGAAAATGAATATCGATGCCACAATGGATTATGTAAATCAAGCGAACTTCAAGAAGAGGATGCAGGCGATGCCGACCGTCTTCATCGATCGAATGAAGTGTTGGATGGCTTCAATATAAAATCCTGTTTCCAAGATCCAACATTCCGTTGTGAAGAACATTCTTGCACAGCACAGGAAGGTACGTTTCCGTGTGGAGATGGCCAATGTATTAACGAATTTGATGAATGTTATAATGGACGACACAAGTTATTAATAGAATCGATGGCACCCAAAGGTAATCTAACAGACGAATGTCGGATTGCTATGATTTGTCTCACTGGACTCGTCGAGCAAATTAACGGAAGTTCATATAAAATATGGCCGATGAACGGCTCAATTTACGAGTTCTTCAAACAATGTGATTCATTTTTTCGATTTCCAACTATACCATTTCATTCTGCTGATATTCGTTTCTTTTACGAAAAGCCTTATTTAAGACGGAAAATAAATGAATTCCTTCTACCTGGTTATCCTTGGTACAATCAACAACTCTGTGATTTTATTAAGCGAGGATTGAACAACTTTTCGATCGGTGAGGCAAATGGTAAAATCAAGCGTGAAAAATGACGCCCAAGTAAAAAATGCTGATTTTACACAGACTAATGCTAACTAACCAAACTCGTAAACTAAATGCTTTTCCTATGGAAAAGATAATTTGAAAAAATGAATTAATGAATTCTCATACGAGAAATATTCTTTTTATCTGTCACTTATATATATGCATCTCCAGCAGAAAAATGAAGATTCACAGAAATAATCTTGAGGGTGTGGGTGCGAGCATTGCACATGATTGTATTAACCAAGTGATATTAATTAGAACTAGAATAAAATACGATGAATAATAACAGATGATAAATACAAAGTCATTAGTTAACAATTTTTCCAAAGTAAAAATAAATTATTCATTATAACAACAAAGACATAAAACTGAGAGTATGAATATTCTAATTATCTTTAATCCGTAGTCTCATTCATACCCACACCCACATCCTCAAGATGGTCTGCTATCAGCAAACATGTACAAATAAGTTTCATGATAATATAAAGAAAAAGATGACTCATACTAAATGAGTAACTGGTATTTTTTTCATTTTTATCGCATTCTACTTAAAGGTAGATGATGGAAATGAAGAGAAAAACTGCGGAGACGGAAAAAACGAAAGAAAAAGCATTTTTTGGGAGCCGAACGAAGAATGATTCAAACAATGTAGTTAAGTGTATGTTATGAGTGATGTTCGAGACAAATATCAACTTTTTTTTTATAAAAATAATTTTTATGGAATGGATAGTATTTTAGTTGAAATTTCTATATTTAGAACATGTATTAATGTACATGGTGTTTCGAATGAAAGAAGATAGTGCAGCTACATTTAAATATACAAGAGAAAAATATCATAAATAAGATAATGTTCGACGTCATTGACAAAATCAACGAAAAACAATAGAATTTATATGTTTATCCCTGTTGTTTGTTAGTGCCTACGTTGACTATATATGAAATAAGGAGAAGCAGTTTTTTCTTATTGAACACATGTGTTTATTGAACGTACAGATGAAGTCATTAGTTAATATCGTCACCTTTTTTTCTCTTTCTTAATATTTGGTAAGCACTTTAAAAAGCCAATTATAATTAAGAACAGAACTGTTCATGCCTTGTTCTCCTGTTAACATCTTGCTGGTGACGGATTCAATCCTCTAAACAATAAAGAAACAACAATAACATAGTGTAGTTATTAATGTATCATTTTTGTTGAAAAAAATCTTTTGCAAAACATATGGTGTTTTTTTTGCTGGAATAAATAACTACTAAATTAGAGAGACAAAGTATTGTAGAAAACAAAAGAAAGAGAATGGTAATAAAAATTAGTCAAACATTCATAAAATATTTTAGAAACTAAAGAAATACAACATGTGTTGGCTAATATTTATTTTATCGTTATTTTCTGTTTCTAATTCTATTCTTATTACGAAAATAAAAAATAATATAATAATTGGTATTATGTATAATAATTTATTCAATATAACACAAAATCAATGTATATGTGAAATGATAAAAGTAAATGATTCAATATCTGCTTTAAATTATTTTTCAATAAATCAAACTTGTCAATTATTTCGTTCAAACGCTAGTACAATTTATATTGAATTTTATTCAAATTCTACTTTTATATTTCTTAATCAATCATCAATAACAATACTGAATATTCAAGAGTATCGTAAGTTTTCATTTCGCAAGACTACAAAAATATCCTAACTATTTATAGACCCAAACTCCAATAGTTTAAATGAATTTGATGTTTATATTTTTTTAAATTCTGAAAACGGGGTCATTCACAAAAAATGAATCAGATTAGTGAATCGAGAAGTGCTAGATTTTTAACAAAGCCTTATCCAGTTTTCTTATTCATACTAATCTCATTTTTTTGAAATAGAACCGAGTACGTCATCATCAACACCGACAACAACCTCAAGTACATCAACATCAGCTACAGCATTAGTAAACCCATGTAAATGCGAAATAGTTTTATACAGTTTCGATTAACTATTAATCGCAGTTATGAGTTATAACCCTTTCGAATTGGTAATGAATGGAAAATAAGATTTTTTTGCACTAAATTCTTTCAAAGTATTTGTAGACTTAGAAGCTTTCTGATAAAAATATCTGCAGTGTGCATATTGAGATGAATAGATATGATGAAATGTCTACTGAAACATTATTGTTTTATTTTTAGGTACATCGGGTGGCTATCGCTGGAATACAACAGGCATAACTATATTAAATTCAACACAAATAACACACGCTGCTCATTTATTTTTCGATTCAAATGATACGTTATACATCGCTGATGAATATGCGAATTCTGTTATATGGAAATTGCCAAAGAATGCTGTCAATCCCATTCTCATAGCTGGACAAGCGCTTTCAAGAGGCTCCAATTCTAGTCAGTTGAATCTTCCTCAAGCTGTTTATCTTGATTCAGAACAAAACTTGTATGTGACCGATTATTATAATTACAGAGTACAAAAATATATTAATGGATCGAACATTGGAATGACTGCAGTTGGTTTAAGCGGAACGGCAGGTACAGCATCAAATATGCTTGGTGGTCCCCGCCATCTCTGTTTCGATTCAACAGAAACGTATATGTATATTGCAGACAGTGACAATAACAGAATTATGCGTTTTCAATCGAATTCAACAAGTGGTATCAATGGAAACGTTGTCGCTGGAGGAAATGGGGCTGGAAATGGAACTACACAGCTAAACTATCCATGGGGAATACAATATCTTCCATCAATAAGCACTTATTTATATATAACAAACTATTATGGACATACAATAATGCAATGGGCACCAGGCAATACATCGGGCAGTTTTATAGCCGGTACGCCCGGTGTATCAGGATCAAATGCTACACTTTTGAATAATCCAATGGGTATTAAAATTGATACCTATTTGAATCAGCAGTGGACCATTGGAGAAGTCGACCGAGAAACTGTTCCACTTTAAGGAGAAATGGTTTACCCCAATAAAAGTAACACATTAAGGAGAAATGGAAAACCCAAAAGCGACATCTATTCAATGAATTATTCTATACACTATCGATATACACCGCAAAGAGAAATCCTTTTTATTTTAAACGGAAATCAAACAAACCTGAATATATATGTATTCAACATCTAAATCAATACGATATCTATCTTTTCTTTAAAGAGAAATCTTTTTTCAAGTTCCATTTTTCCTTATGAATGTAGATATGGATGAACCATTTCACATTATTATTTATCCATTTCTAATGGTAAAAAACAATATCCCCTAGAATATTTTTCGTGAGCGAACAAATAAACTATTTGTTCACTATTCTTTCATCTATATGATTATATAGTATTTTTAACTTTTCTTCACATATATATCTATATGGCCTTTTTCTCTTTTCCTACTTGTATAATCATACAGAATTTTCTTCTTTTCTTTTAAATATATGTTCATATGGTATTTTTCCTTTCCTTATCTTCATGCGTCCTTCTTATATTCTTTCGATCTTCATTGAAATGCCTTGTTTTCAAGTGCTGACCTAAACCATATCACTTAAATAATATTCGTAGAATATTTTCTATTACAAAAAATCAGAATGATCAAAGTTAACACAAGCTGTTCATTGAATATTCGCATTTTATACTGATACAAAACTATTATTCCGCTTCGGATACTATCATCTTCTTATACAACTGACGATAACACAAACATCTCCTTATAATGAAAAATAAAATAATCCAAATCACACTTTCATTCTTTCATTTCTCCTTATAAATGGAGATATGGATCAACCATTTCTCCTTATTTCTAATTCGTTTCTGCTGATAAAAATCCATCTCT